GCCCCATGATATCCTGGTGGAGAAGCTGAGGAGTTTTGAGATACACCGATGCACTGTCTGATGGATTAGGGCATGGTTGATGGACTGAAAGCAGAAGATAACTATTAGTGGGGAATCATCAGGAGGGCAGCCAGTGACAAGTGGGGTCCCCCAGTGCTCTGTCTTGGGGCCAATCCTGTTCAATCTTTTCATCAGTGGCCTGGAAGAGGGGCTGAGCAGTCTGTTGATCAAATTTGTGGATGATACTAAAAACGGGGGCAGTGGCCACAACTGAGGAGCAGGTACTCCAGAACCAGAAGGATTTGGACAGACTATGGAAGTGGGCAGGAGACAACAGGATGGCGTTCAATGTGGATAAGTGCAAGGTCTTGCACTTGGGGCATAGGAATGGGTGTCATAAGTACAGGTTAGGGGACAAGCGGCTGGAGAGCAGCGCTTGTGAAAGGGACCTCGGGGTGCTGGTTGACTGCAGGCTGAACATGAGTCACAGTGTGATGCGGTGGTCAAGGGGGTGAACACCACCCTTGGTTGCATAGCCAGAAGCGTGGCTTCTAGATCGAGAGAGGTATTACTGCCACTCTATACAATTCTGGTGTGCCTGCAAATGGAGAATTGTGTTCAGTTCTAGGGTCCACATTACAGGAACAATATAGGCAGGTTGGCGGTTAGGGCCACAAGGATGGTGACCGGATTGCAAGGGGCAAGACCGAGGGAGCTGGGTCTTTTCAGCTTGAGAAGAGGAGACTCCGCAGGGATCTGTTGGCAACATGGGTATGTGAGGGGGTGTCACACGAAGGTGGGTAGATGCCTGTTTTCTCCTGTGGAGGAGGGCAAGACACATTCCAATGGTACGCATGCTCATGAGCAGAGCTGGCTGGAGCTGGGGGTCAGACTAGATGGCCCAGGAGACCGCTTCTGACTCGCTCTGTTTCTCTGTTTTTATGGATTCACCCCACTCCACCCCTTGTGTTGCAAAAAGCTTTCCACAGTAGCTGTGCCAAACTTCCTTCAAGTGGGCACAGCTTTTGGAGAAGATGGAAAGAAATGCTACACCTGTCTGGATTTTCCCATGTGTGCTTCCTGTCCCCTTCCCATGAGGGCTCCCACTCGCTTGCTTGGCTGCCAGGGAGCCAGGAGTCGGGGGGCCGTGGCATCTCCTGCCCCTCCTGCTTGCCTGGGCCAGAGCAGGAGGCAAGAGAGCATGTAGCCCACCATGGGACAGGGCCTGGTCGGGCACACTGCCCACAGCCGTTGCTCCATTGAGCCCGCCATGACGCGGCCTGTGCACTTGTGGAATGCAGGGGCTGCAGCTGAGCTGCTCTGGGTTCCACGCGGCTGTGTGGCTCACATGGGCTGTGCATGCCACAGGGGTGAGGACTGTGGAGGCTGTGGGCAGCTCCTCTCTGCCACGTCTAGGGTTTCGAGGCAGATGTCTTGCTGGTGGCCTGCCAGTCCCTTTGCTGGGACCCTTGACGGAAGGCCCGGGTGCCCTTTTCAGGGCTGGTGTTCCTCAGTCATGTGGCTCTGCCTCTGGGGAGTCAACAGGGTTTCTATGGTGACTCGCCCGAATTGGCTGGGTGACCTCCTTTCTAGGCCGGGTGCTCCGAGGGCCAGTCAGAGGAGTGGCCTCAGGTGTGGCGCAGGCAGTGAAGTGGCGGTGCTGGCTTGGGGCACGAGCAAGGCCTCTCCTCTCTGTCGTTGGAGTGGCAGCTCCCCTTGCCTGGGATGGGCGCCTCGGCCTTCGCTCGTCCGAGATGGGCTCCGCAGCACTTGAGTGCGCTCAGAGGGGCTGCTCAGGTGCAGGGCCGGGCTGCAGGGGCACGTCCTCCCCGTCCCTCGCCCGGTGCCCTCGAATGCCTTGAATGGTGGGATGGTGAGGGTGTGCCCGGGGATGGCTGGGACCACCAACAGAGTCAGTTTATGGATTGTGCCGTGGCTGGAGAGCAAGGGTGGGCTGGTGGACCGGGGTCTCTGGAAAGCAGTGCTTCTAATCACGCCACATGAAACTGGGGGAGTTTGGTTTCTAGAATGGGCTCTGATGTGAGAAACCATTTTAACAAAATCATGTTTCTCAGGCTGGGGCAGGAGAGTGTGGTGCAAAGGTTGGCCAGGGGGCAAGTCAGTAAAATGGACGTGCAGGGCAGGTCAAGCATTTCTTATTGCCCAGAGTTGCCCTTGCCTCTCAAGCTCCCAGGTACCCAGTAGCTGGGATTTCCCACAGCCTGGGCAGGACAGGTGAGAGGGTGGCGCTTCACGGTGGCTCCATTCAGGCAGCGCAGAGTCGGTCCTCCAGATAATCGGCAGCAGCTTCTCGTTGGCCTGACCACAGCTCACTATAGTGTCTGAAATCTTTGGTTCGTGCCACTAATTTGCCTCCAAGTCGTGGTTTGGCCAACAACTTCATATTGTGGCAGATGATTCCAAGTATTGATTGCTTGCCAGATTTGAATGCAGCTGCAAACCAGAACAGGGCATGGGCAGGTGGGAGGAGGGAGCAGCCGCTCATATTCAGAATGAGTGAGCAGTCCTTCCGCTTGCTCCCAGTCTCTGAACAGGGAAAGCTGGAGGACTGGAAGCATGAAGTATGGACAACACGTTCTCATCTTGGCCCCAGTTGGGTGTCTGTTGATTAGCACAGAGGTCTCGTCTGTTTTTTCCCATGCTTCTTCTGGTCTAACATGAAACCAATAAACCAGCTAGTACAAATGAGCAACATCCCTTTGAAATAATTTTCTCTGCCTATCACAGTACAGTCATGGAATTTAAACTCCTGCCCTTTAAGGTAGGTGGGTGTTATTAAATTCTTCAGCCAGATGTCCGATGCAGAGAGGCTGCACACGTCATGGTTCACATGAACTGAGTCACACGACAGTGTATGACCTGACATCCATAATGTTGTATAAACACGGGAACATTAGTGTGTGTACAGTTTTGGTTTACCTGGCTTTGTCATGAGGTGGGGGTGGTACAAAGTGCTTCTGCAGTTCCTCCTGTGTGTGATCACGGTGGGACTGTGACACAAGGGTAAGTGAGCTCTGTCCTGTGGTGAAGGCGTGCAGCCTGAGCTCTCCAGAAGGGCCGTCGCACGGTGCCCAAGTGCCTGATCCGCATGGAAGTGTCCCAGTTCCTTCCAGGATATCCTCAAGCCAGCCTGGAAAAGGGCCTGCCTGAGCCCCCGCAGAGCCGTTTCTGCAGAAACAGTGGACTGGGAGGGCCAGGGGTGGCACTCAGTGCAAGGCAGCTTCCCCTGCTGCGAAAGGCCCTCTCTGACTTGCGAAAGCGCTTGAAGTCTGACCCTTGTCTTCATGGCTGTGCAGACGGCCCCTTCTTTTCTCAGCTGCGTCCCTTTCGGGTCTCAGACAGCACAGCAGCTCCTGGCTGCATCAGTTGTCAAGCTGAACATGCGGTCTGCAGTGGAGCACTTGCTGCGCCAGGACTTGCCTCTGTCCCACGCAACAAGATGTGGCGTTGGCCATTCCCGCTCCTGTTCTCACTGGCCTCCAGTCGTGGCTGTTGCGGCAATTCAGCAGCAGCCCACGTGGCTTGGGAGAGTGTATCTGTGTGCTTTCTTTCCAGGGCTCGGCTGGTGATCCAGGCTGGGGCACAGCAGCTGCTTTGTCTCAGTCTTTCCTACCCTAATTCTTTTCTCCTCTTAAATCTAACAGCATGTTAATCTGCAATTAGTTTTTACAGGATTGAGGCATGTTGCTCTTGACAGGAACCAGGTGCACAGGTGTCAGAAACTGGGGGAAGAAAGGTGGTACGCAGGATTTTTGTGTTAAGCTACTTTAAATGGCTGGTCTGGCTGCCTGTCTTGATCAGGACACTTTGCGGGCTGCCTTCTCCTGCGTGAACCTGCCCACGTTTCCAGGTTGTCTGAGGAGGGGGGCCTGACCATGAGCAGAAGCACTGGGAGTGGTCCTCATCTCTAGTGTCCTTGGTTGTGGGAGGGGCTTCACAGGAGACTGGTCTTGTCCCCTGAGATTTTGGTCTTTGTGAGGAAGCTGTTGTTTCGCTGGGTGTTTGGGTTTCCATGAATTCCTGTTTAACCTCTGACTCTTGTGTTTCCTCTTGATGGGCTTTAAACATCATCTCACATTCTTTCTCTTTGCAAGCTGCAGGTAGGCTCAGGAGTCCTTGAGTATTGTGGTGAAAGAGTCAGGCTGTGGTGTGCTGTGGCCTTAAGCAAATCATCAGAGCTGGTGTACCTAGTCTGACAGGTTGTTCAGCCCTGGGTAACCTCTGCTCCTTTCTTGCTCTGTTGGCCCCCAAAGCCCACCAGGGCTGGAGGTGTCTGCTGTGTGGTGTTTGACATATAGAAGCATAGAATCCTGGAAGAGCAGAATTGCAGGAGGCCAAGAAGGCCATCGGTTGCAGCCCCTGCCATTGCAGGACACCAGTTTATCCAATCCCACTCTGGCCTGGCTTGGCTGCCCCAGGAGGGCCCAAGGCTACCGCAGGGGAGGTGCTGAATGCTGGAGGGAGGGAGTAGATTGCTCTGTGTTCCAGCACTGGCTTTTCTGGCCTCCTTCCCCCTGGGGTCTGCTGGGTGCCTTCCCAGCTTTTCTCCCTCTCCATGCATTTGCGCAAGGGTCTGAAAAGGTGTCCCTGTCACAACAGTGGCTGAAGGGTGAGAACGAGGCTCCTCCCCCTCCACTGCAGCCCCTTGGCCTCCTTTCTTCCTCCAGCCCATTTTCTACCCCCTCCCTAGTCATGCGGGTGAAGGGATTTAAGAGCACAGGGGCATGCCCAGTCCTTTGTGGTGGTGCCTGTGACATTTTCTCCAAAAACTACTTGCGCCTGCAGGTCCACAAAGGCTGGGGCACCTGCCTTGATTCATTTTCGCTGCTGAAAGACACGCATGGGTTCAGAAGCTGGCAGCACCATTCTTCAGGCAATTCACTGTTTCAGTAAGACATCGCTTTTCTTACTCCGTCTCTCCGGGGGACCCAGATTTGACCAGCCCTTCTCTCCCCACTTCCTTCCTCCTCCCTCTGCAGGATCATGCGCCCAGATGATGCCAACATTGCTGGGAATGTCCACGGAGGGATCATCTTAAAAATGATTGAGGAGGCAGGCGCCATCATCAGCACCCGCCACTGCAACTCCCAGGCTGGGGTATGTACTCTGTGTGTGTCCAGAGGAGCCGAGCAGTGCTGGGACTCTTCTGGGCAATGCCTCTTTCACCATCGGGGCTCAGCTAAGGTGTGGGTGGGCAGCTTGTGCCCCTCCTGTGCCATCGCCTGCCACCAGTGGCCGTCCTGGCTGGGGCTGATGGGAGATGCCGATCAGACAGTGTGACCCAGTGCATTTAGGAACAGGAGGGGCTGGTGCATGGCCCTGTCCTGCTTCACACTTCCAGCCCTTTCCTGATTAGTGCCTCAGCAGCTCAGCCTGGAATAAAAGGCTCTGGTCTTATTTCTGCTATATTTAGTGCCTGTAGGGAAGACCAACAGCACCCAAGCTCCAAGCTGTATGTGGATCTCCCCGTTGCTGAGTATGGTGGGTGGAGCGTCCAGGGTCAACAGAGTCTGTCATCCCAGGCCAAGCCTCCCGCTCTGGAGCAACGTTGGGGGTCCCTGGAATGCGCTTGCCTTGAAGCCCACCTTGGTGGTTGGCTTGAGTTTCATGTTAAGTCTAATCTGGCATGTCTTGGAAACACCTTCAAGCTCTTCATAAGAAGAAAATGCCAGGCCGGATTAGCGACAGTTGTTGAGGGGGGGTGGGGGGGTGCTGCTTGATCACCGACAGCTCTAGTTTCCAATCAGGGAGTGACTCCCAGTGCTCTCTAATCACAGCATGGTTGGAGGCTGTTCCAGTGCTTTCTACTGCTTTGTAGGCCTACTCTCTTGGGAAGGGTGTGCTGAAAGAGTTTGCAGAGTGGAGTGCTTGCTTGCTTGCTCGCTCGCTCGCTCGTCCATTCTTAAAATCCTGTCTTTGATATTTTTAACTGAGCTTACAGTTGCCTGCCTTGAACATTATTCACTGAATCGCTTCTCTTCATGCCATAACCCATGGGCACTTGAGGGCTGGTGGCTGAGGGTCTGCACATGCATGCTGGGGGGTCCCCTCCAGATGCCTTGAACAAGGATCTGCCTGACTTCTCTCTTTCTTCATCTTCTTTGGTTTGCTCACTTGGGGTGTAACTTAAGGCCATAAACACCAAGTGAGTGTTGCATGAGCAATGAAAACTTCCACACGTTTCACACATACAAGAATATGTCACAACATGTTCCATACATCTTGTCCGCTCAGCCCATCCACTCTGAGGGTAAAAGAAGCGGGTGAGAAATCTCATGGGTCTGTGGGTGTCAGCTTCCTATGGCTGTTCCTCCGAGGGGTAGAAGCAGAAGTAGTGAGATCCATTTAAGTCCAATTTAAAGGTGCCTGGCCCAAAACCCTGTTCGCCAATTGGTCTGAGCTCAGGCAGGCATCATCCCCTCTGAAAGAGGCTCTGAGCCGAGCCCACTCTTTGCTGGTTTTTTTTTCTGGAGCCTTGTGCCTGGAAGCCCGGACAAGTCCTTAAAACGAAATGCTATAGTTGGCCAGCAGGTGGCAGCAGTGGATAAGAGCTTCCAGGAGGCGGCTGCTCCTTGAAAGCCGGAGAATCAGGCAGGCGTCTGCTGCATCACTTTTACACCAGTGAAAGCTTGCTGGGAGCTGGGACCCCTGTGGCTGTGCTTGCTGTGGCAGTGTTCTCTCCCACCCCGTCTCCCATGCCTCTGCAGGCTTGTCTCCTTGCCCCTGTGCTAAAACCTGATGGCCAGTTGCAAGCCTCTTGCTTGATCCACGGGCCTTCTTTACTTAAACAAGACTGCACCCTGTTATCCCCAATGAGCTGCAGGAGCTGGAGAGAGGCCATCACACAGCAGTGGGGCATGTGTTTTGCAGGCAAAAGGTCTCTGTGCAGCTAGCGGAGCCATGACTGAGCTTCTGGGGGCCACCGTCAGTCAGAGCAGAGAGGCTGGGCTTGCTAGAGCAGTGGTGGAGATGCCATGTGAGATGAGATTGCGGGAGCTGGGCCTTTTCATCCTGGAGAAGAGGAGACTCTGAGGGGATCTGATAGTGACATACAGGTCTGTGAAGGGATGTCACACAGTAGAGGGTCATGACGTGTTCTCCCGGTTCAGTGGGGCATAGCTCAAGGAACCAGGTTTTAGACTGGATGCCAGGAAGTACCTCCTGGCAGTTAGGAATTTGTTAGGAATTCTAATTAAAAATTGGAAAGGGTTCAGAGGGGAGCAACAAAGATGATCCATGGTTTGGAAAAACTGCCCTGTGAGGAGAGACTGAGAGAACTGGGCATGTTCAGCCTTGAGAAGAGAAGACTGAGGGGGACATGATATCCCTCTATAAGTGCCTCAAAGGCTGTCACAAGGATCTCTTCTTGCTGATACCAGAGTGTAGGACGTGGAATGATCAAGTCAAGTTGCGACAACCCAGATTCAGGCTGAACATCAGGAAAAGCTTCCTCCCTGTCAGAGCAGTACAGCAGTGGAACCAGCTGCCTGGAGAGGTGGGGGGCTCTCCCACACTGGAGACATTCAAGGTGACACTGGACCATCATCCAAGTGGGATAGTATGAACTGGTGTCCTGCAACAGCAGGGGGTTGGACCCGATGGCCTCCATGACCCCTTCTAACTCTACTATTCTATGATTTGCTACTCCTTTCTGCCTCCACGTTTTGTTAAATCTCCCCTTAATCTATGCCTTTGGCCATCATGACATCTTTCAAAGGTGAATTCAGTAAATTGATAGTTTGCCCCTGTGTGATTTTAGTTTGCCCCTCCACCCAGCCTGGTATTGACTGGCAGCGGCTCCCTGGGGCTGCAGGAACGGTTCTGCCTATGCCCTTCCTGGAGACGCACCCTTGCACGCTGGGCTTTCTGCAGGCCAAGCAGGGGCTCTGCTGCCACTGATGACCCAGGTGGGGTTGCCTCTTCTATTTTTTAGCTAAAGCAACGGAACTGGGGAGTGGATTTGCAGAGTTCAGTGGCTGTGTTTCCCCCCGTCCTCATGTCCCTGTTTGGACTCTTGGCTCGCTCAGTGGCTGGCTGTGCTTTGAGTGCACTTTCACCTGGCCACCTGCGTGTCGCAGTAGCTAACTGCCCCTTCTGTGGTCCTCGCAGGAGCGCTGCGTGGCTGCCCTTGCCCGAGTTGAGCGCACCGACTTCCTCTCACCTATGTGCATTGGAGAGGTGGCTCACGTCAGTGCCGAGATCACCTACACATCCAAGCACTCCGTAGAAGTCCAAGTGAACGTGGAATCGGAAAACATCCTCACAGGTAAACTATGGCACCGGGCGTACCAGCTGCTCAGCAGGCCCCACAACGCTGCTTTTCTCCCGTGTTTCCTGCCCCTGCCTTTCAGTGAGGTGAGGGATGCCTGCGGGCACCCCCCCCTCTGGCTAATGGGTGTGTGGGGAGGGGGGTGCCCATGGGTTTGGCAGGCTGCCGGTTGCCCATTTCTTGTTTAGGCTGGAATTGGTGTGTGGTGACTTTGGGAGCCTGAGCAAGTGTTGTGCCCAGTCAGGCCATGTGGCCGTGGCTAGGGACGCTCTGTGGAGTGCACTCTCTAACGTGCGCAGGCTGCCCGTAGCTCTCGGCCTTGCCTGGAAAGCACGCGGAGCTGAGAGGAACTCCGAGCACACCCACGAATGGAAGGGGTGCAGCCGGCAGCCTTCTTCCATGCAGTGCACAGGGTGCGGTGTGGGGTGAAGAGGGGCCCTGTTTGTGCATGTGTGCACAGGACTGTTCCCTGCCCCAGGGCAGGCTGGAGTCTGGTGGATTCCCAGCCTCAGAACATGCTCCTTGCATGCCCCCGGCCACAGAACACGCTAGCCACAGCAAGGCAACTAACGCTTTCAAGGATGTTCGTATCATTCCATTGGAGCAGCGAGCAGCATGTGCATGCATACAATAGATACATGCTCTCCTAATCATAACCAGTTGGTCTGCACATGTTAAGTTGTCCAAGGGAGCAGCTGTTCAGTCCATGCACACAATCCTCTCCTTGCTTATTCTTTGATCAGAAAGTCAATAAATGGAACACATTTCTATTTATTTGCCCCTATTTATACTCCATAAATAAGTATATAACAAAACAGATTATTTTGCATAACCTACACTATTTACATTACTATGAATACTCCTAATAGCCAATACAGCAGCTATAAGGTATGTCCTAAATACCTCTAATGCTCCAGACAGAACTTAACATCTTTACTTTTCCACTCGACAACAGTCACTGTCTTTGCTGCTGTCAACGAATTTCAGGCCATCCCATGCTGTGTGTTCCTCATTTCTCACCCTGCTCAGCCAAGTCACGTGTTGGGAACATGTTCTGGTTTCCAGCTGCATTAGAGAAACCAGGCCAAGTCAGACTTGGTGGAAATTCTCTGCTCCATGCACAAGGTCTAACTGATGGTTAGAGGTAAAGCAAAGCTCAGGTTCCAGGGAACAGCTGTGTTCCCAAAGGATTGGGGCATCTCAGAAGCTGCTTTGCCAGGCCAGTCTGCCTAGCTGGGCAGCACGTTCACTGACCGACCAGCCGTGGCTGCTGAGGAAGGGGTCTTTTTCAGCCTGTCTGGGGAGTGCAGTGATGTTTTCAGTTTCCTTACTACCCCTTATCTGAAGTTATTTTTTTCTTTCCATGGGATGTTTGCAAATATCACAGTGACCTTCTGAGCAGATCATTTTCTCCCAATTTTTGTTTGCCACAGAAGGAAAGGAAAATCAGGATAGTTTTTTTTTTAAATCTCAGGTTACTAGTCCCCAAGATTTAAGAGCTCATCTTTCATGGTTTGTTCCCTCCCCTTTTCTGCATTCCATCCTCTTGCCCGAAGTCCAAATCTTTTGCAAAATAATTCCATAATGCATATACCAGAAAATACTTATTGTGACACATTTTTATGTAGGACATTGGTTTCTACTTTGAGGGAGTTTAACAAAAACACCTCCCTGCCTTGGAAAGCCTCTTCTCCCTCCTTGCTTTTGCTTTAAGCCACAGTTTGCAGGAATTGTTCCAGTGGTGTCATAAATAAGCTGGGCAAATCAGTTTGGGTGAGCTGTCCAGCCCGGGCTGTCATCAGGCCAATAATTCCTTTGAGAAGATAGATGCTCCTGGAACAGAAATTGTGCATTCAATGGCAGTCTGTCTGAGGTCCTCCCAAAGGCAGGTTCTGACCAGCGTGACAGAAGCAGGGAGACACGGTTTGCTCTGGAGGTCTCGTCTCTGTGCTACGCCGTGGCAAGGAACTTTGGAAGGCACTCTGATTCCTCACTCCCAGTGGGGAGAGCAGAAACGCTGGATCAAACTACAGTTGATCCAATAAACAGAAGGAAAAGCAGAAGAAAACCGTAGATGATCCCATCCCTCTTTCTCCAGCAGGATATCCAAATCCTACGTTGCTAATGAAACTGCCTGTCCAGACTTCTCCAGAAATCTTTCGGGCAGGGACATTCTACAATCTCCATTACTTAATGAAGCTGCTCAAGCATTCAGCAGTTAGGCTGTTTTCCTGATTTTTAACCTAAGCTTGCCTTCTTACGGTTTAAAGTCTGCATGTTCAGTCCTGAGTAGAGTGCAGTGCTTTGGGCCTTTCAGGTTTTCTTACTCCAAAAATGTGCAACACACGTGGTTCCTTCAGCTTCACTTCATGCAGTTTTCCCCTTTGGACCAAGCTTTTTACCTTGGACCAAGCTGGTCACCTGTGGCATTAGAATAAGCTCCAGGTGACCAGAGGGAAGCCGCCTTTATAGGCAAGGATGTGGGCTGGTGGGTTGCCTTGTGTCTCTCTGCATTCAAAGGCTTTGAAATGTGTGGGCATTTGCTGTGGGCCTACCGTGTGGAGGTGGTGGTGGTAGCCCTTCCTGGGATGGCTAAGACCTTTTTATTTCAACAATATTTTAATAACTTTTAACATCAGCTTATAGGTTTTAATCTGCAGCCAGGGTGGATCTGGATTTTATTTGTATTATGTTTTATTTTATTTTATGTAAGGCATCCCGAGGCTATGCGATGGGACGGCATACAAATACTCTAAATAAATAAATAAGTCAGCTGTGCATGGTCTGTTAAAACTTTGACTGGCAGAGTCGCTGCTTCGTGGGGCAAAAGTTCCATCTTCCACTGGAAGCTGTGGAGGACTCAGCAGACACTGAGGTCACTTGAACAATGGATGCTAAAAGGGATGGACTCCTCACGTGCCAGCTGATTGCACCTCAGGAGGCCACAGAGTCTGACTGGGGTAGGGCATCGTTTGCCTCTTCCAGAAAGGCTGCCCAGCATGTCACAGTGTGCCAGAGCGACAGGGCCGTGGCCCATTTGGACTGAGCTGCTGGTACAGCTGCCGAGCGGCTCCCTCTGGGCTCCCCTGGCACGCAGCTGCCTCTAAGCAAAGTCGGGCCAGGGCCACACGAGGCGATGCGATGCGATGGCCTCTGTCTGAAATTGGCCTAACAGGATGTGCACATCAGGAACACTGGCTTGTGCCTCCTCGTTTCCAGAGCTCTGGCTTCCTGTGGCATCCACACATGGCAAATGTCACAGCCTGGATCAGAACTGAACTCTCCCTCCTCTCTCTCTCTCATAAACAAGCTGATGATCGGGCCACTAGAGTTTGCCAGTGCAGGTGAACTGACCCCTCTGATTAGTCGAGGGAATGTCTAGCCAGGCCGTTTATTCTCCTCTCACAACATGTGCTGCAATAGGCGGCAGGGAGACATAGCAGTGCTCCATGTGCGCACAACAAGAGCCCTGCTCGCCTTTCCCATGCCGAACAGTAGCGAAGTGCGCAATGTGGCTCTTCACCTTTCCCAGCAGATGCTTCTGGTGGGATTCAGGATGCAGTCCCGTTAACTGCACCCGTTATCGCCACCCGTGTGCGCTTGCGTCCCCGTGGCAGGAGTGGGATGAATTAAACTGCAGTGTCTCTGTGTCAGATGCCTGTGGAGATGAGTGTTTGGTTTCAGCAGGTTTCTTGTTGGCAGATATGATTTGGAATGAAATGGGACTGTGCCAAGCTGCTTTTTACTAGTGAAAAATAATGTGATGATGCCCAAATCGGCCTGAGGGAATTTAGTTCTTTTCCCAAACGCAGGTCTGGCTCGGGGTCCTGCCCCTGTGGAGCCACAGAGGACAGAGGCTTCCTTTTGCACCCCTCTCCCTTCTAGTTTCTGCCTCTCCCACCTTCCTCCGCCAGACACCTGGCACTGCACCCCGCACCTCTCGGAGCCTCTCTTGCCGAGAGACCAGGAGCATGTGGTTTGGGCCACGGGGCGTTGTGAATATGTCAGCGTAAAGCGCCGTGTTTTGTAAAAACAAAGCAGGTGCAGGAGCAACCAGATCCCAGCCCTCTGCTCTGGGCCCATATGTGGGAAGAGGAATGTGTGTTTCCACGGTTACTCTGCCTTGAAAGCAAATATGCAGATCAAGCTGGGAGCCAGGAGTTCATCTCAGTCGATGGCAGACGCTCCCGATGAACGGTGGGCTCGCGCAGGCACCAATTGAATTCCTGCTGGCCTCTTTTTCTGCGCCAGCACCCCTCCTCGCGGCTGCCTCCTCCTGAGCGGGGAAGAGATACGGAGCCTGCATAGACACGCCTGTGGCTCAGAGTGAGAGAAGAGCCTCCAAGCTGAACTGGGCTGAATAGACATTTTTGGTGTAACGGGATGTAACAAAATCGGCATCTGGGGAAGATATGCTTGCCTCTGCCGTCTTTCCGAATCACAGCCGCAGTTTAAAGCCGTTAAGTCTTGTCACAACATCTGGAACACAGAGCCTTCCCAGCAGGTTCTGGGAGAGGGCTGCCAGGGAGCCCAGCCGAGGCATGTGCGCCCGCTGCCTGGCTGAGGGAAGACTGGGAGGCTGTCGCCGCCATTTCCTGGCCATGACTTTACCGGCAAACTAGAGCCTCCATTTTCAGCATGCTGGCAAATGCCAGCGATTTCCTGCTTAATATGTAGGGCATCCAGGGACTTTTGTGGGAAGCGGGATGCTGGACTGTGCAGCATTGGTCTGATGAGCAGGATGATGAGGGGTCTGTATATGCACGGCATGCAGCGTGTAATGGGCAGCCCCATATGTGATTCTGAAATGGCTGCTGCCAAATCTGCATTCTAGATTATCACCGTGCCAGGGATTTAGAAACAGAGAAACAGAGCGAGTCAGAAGGGGTCTCCCGGGCCATCTAGTCTGACCCCCGGCTCCAGCCGGCTCCGTTCACGACATGCCCACCATGTGCATGTCCAGCCTACCCTTGAACATCCTCACCAATGGGGCCTCA